ATGCAATCCTTCCATTCCTCACCATTTAGTCAGAACTGAAGAGGTTTCTTGGATGAGAAGCCAAACATCTTCAAGAAAAGAAAAAAAAAAGGTTCAAGTTGTCTTTGAAAAGCATCTTTGGGACACCTGGTGGCAGGTGTGCAAAACTGAATTTCCTGATTCACAATTCAAACCGTTTATCAATAGGCTTCACCATCAATCAGTTTTACTCATCTAGAGATCATCTCTAAGCTGTGTTTATCTTGGACTCATATACAGTACATATAAGAGAATGGACTTTAGACGCCAAGAGTAAGGAAACAGTTGAAAGAACTGCTCAGAACCAATTGAATTTAAAGATGTTCTACTGAACCCTATTCCCTTTTGAACAATGGCTGCAATCGCCCAAGTTGGCAAGCATTACTTTGATGGCATGCAGCTCCTTGGTCTTGTCTTTCTCCTCCCGGATTTTTTGCCGTCCTTCCTCGTCTTCATTGCCATTGGTCTCTCGTTCCATGCGCTCCCTGCGCTCACGCCTCTCTCTCTCCTGAGGGTCTTCTGCAAGTAAGGCAAATAAGATTTTTGCAAAATTAAGACAGTATCAGAGAAACAAATTCCGAGCATATAACGCATTGATGAATCCAACACCCAAGGGGGGAAAAAATATACCTAGCATTTTTCTTCCCATTTCTTGGAATTGCTTTCTCTTTTTTCTCTCATCTTCCAGGAACCGCTGTCGTTCCTCCACTTCCTGCTGCCGGCGTTTTATGGCCTCAGCCTCTCGCTCTGCCTTAGAAAGGAACTTGGGCTGCAACGAATCACAAACAGGTGAATGCAAAGAAACATCCTTTTGTTAAAGAAAAAAAAACCACTACGAAATAAGATTGAGACACATCTAGACTGCTACCATCTGTTTTTTTCTAAGTTGGTGCTCTTTAGGAATGCAACCCTCACCCCACATTTTCCCTGATGTAAATATCACATCAGACTAGTCTGCAATAGACTGCTAGAATCCAATATGTCTTCCAATAGGCCTTCCAAAAGTTAATTGATATCTGGAAGCAGAGAAAGTGGAGAGATGCTCCTTGGACTAACCTTAGCTTCAGCCTCTTCTTCAGCTTTCTTCTTGGCCAGCAGCTCCTCCAGAGAAAGTGGCTGAGCCTGTGAACAATACAGGCACTCATTAAGGTACCGAAAAAGATCACTAAAAAGAGATCCCACTATTATAAAAGCTAAGTGGATCTGGACAAGAGAAGCCCACAAAATTGAGANTCACTGTTCTACCCTATAATCTGGGAAGTGTCACTTAATTGTGGCGAAAGCTTCATTCCTACATAAAACATTTTTACAGCACTGAATCCCTTAGTGCAATTCTCTATTATGCTACAACATAGAGCTAAAAATTCAAGGAAATGATTGAGTTTTCCTAGAATGGCCAATAGAACATTGTTTAATGTCAGTAGTTGATGTACAGGACAACTATTAACCCCTTAATATTTACTGTCTGCCCAATCTCCAACCTCCTCGAGTGATTTTTCTCCTCCTTTAGAAAGATGTCCCAACTCTCTCACCTATCAATCTTAGGCAGAGTGGTGATCCAAACCAGAAGTGGAATAAGGAAGGCAGCTGTTTTACCACTACCAGTCTCTGCTACACCAATGATATCACGATTCTGCAAACCAATAGGGATGGCTTGACGCTGGATAGGAGTAGGTTCCTGGGCAAAACAAGAAAGAGTTGTCAAGATACATTTGACTTTTTTAGAAGAAATCATTCAAGTTCAAGGCACCATCAACAGAATCCAGGAAATGCAATGTTTGATTGTGGCTGCCACTGGCATCACCACTATCATCCTACTTCTGAATTAAGTGCCTTGGATTCAATGTCCATCTGCAGTGGCAAGGCTAAACTATTGAAAACTGACAGCAAATAATATCCTATGCAGGTTCTAGTTTTAAATTAACATCATTATAATAAACAAAGAACCCAGTCACCTTCACAAACCAAACAGTCTCTCACCTTATAGCCACATTTGTCAATAACCTCCAAGATGTGAGGAGGCAATGAGGAGTCTTTCCAGGAACGAATGGGATTTGGAATCTTGCCTCCCTTGGTGGTGATGCTGTAATCTTCGCGGAAGATACGCCAGTCCCTGTCCGTCATTTCATCAAGTTTCTTTTGAGACCAGTGCCGGTCGTCCCATCGCTGCTTAGCCTCCTTTTTACGTAGCTTGCGCAAACGTGCCCTGGCAAGAGAGGATGTTGAATCAAGAAATCAGGCAAGAAGGAAACATTTATCCAAGAAAAATACAAAAATACTTAGGAGAAATTTTTCTTTAGTTAGGGTTATTCCCAGAACTATAGGATTTTGTTGCCGATACAGCATACAGTATAGAATAACAACAGAATGACAGAGTTGGAAGGGACCTTAGAGGTCTTCTAGTCCAACCCCCTGCTCAGGCAAGTAACCCTATACCACTTCAGACAAATTGTTATTCAATATCTTCTTAAAAACTTCCAGTGTTGGAGCATCCACAACTTCTCGAGGCAAGCTATTCCACTAATTAATTGTTCTAACTGTCAGGAAATTTCTCCTTAGTTCTAGATTGCGATTGTTGTTGGTATTTTTGTAAAACTGTGGCAGAAAAAGAAAAGCTATTTGATCTTCCTAATTCTCTGCCTTAGCCCAAGTTCTAGTATTTTTTTTAATACTAAGTAACTTCACCATCACTTATTGCTACCGTAAT